CCTACCGAGTTTCAGGAGTGTTAACCCTCCCGGGGATACTCAACCCCATCCGAGTTTTGGGATCATTTACCGTCCCGAGTATGCTCAACCTCAACCGAGTTTTAGGATCATTTACCGTCCCGAGGATGCTCAACCTCAACCGAGTTTTAGGATCATTTACCGTCCCGAGGATGCTCAACCTCAACCGAGTTTTAGGATCATTTACCGTCCCGAGGATGCTCAACCTCAACCGAGTTTTAGGATCATTTACCGTCCCGAGGATACTCAACCTCAACCTTATTTCTAACCAAACCCTAACCTGGATATGGCTAACCTTGCATTCACTTAACTATGGACAATACCTAGTCCTATAGTCATATAATAATCCTTAGTAACCAACATGGACGGGTCCCACCTGATCGGTCCACGTTAACCTACTCAAAAACTACCCGTTTTGAGTATAACCCAATACTCGATCGAGTACCCATCAATACTCGATCGAGTACAGGAGACAGGAGCCCAAAAGGCTAATTTTCAAGGCATGCTCGATCGAGTATCTATCCATACTCGATCGGGTATAGGAGACAGCGGCCCTTGGGGCCAATTTCTCAGCAGACACCCGGTCGGGTATTGTAGTAGACTTGGCGGTCAACGCCCGTTTGACCGCCCAAACGGAGTCCGATTAACGTGAAATTTTACATGCATAATCTACTTGAAGTCCTTGATCCAAAAATACCATTTTTGACCCCTGGATCATTGTACATAATAAGTTATCACATTTGTAATCACCAAACATACAAAACATGCTTTTCAACTTTGTTTTATATATAATCATAGCATAAGCCAATACTTGATTAACTTTAATCATTCCGTAAAACATATACTTGATTACTTTAGGTAATCTCATGCCTCAATCAAAAGTTATAAAGCATATAGCCGTCTTCTCACCTTAAAAGAAGCTTATGAAGTTCTAGCCTCTCTTATTGAGCTCCGGTGTAACTCCGGTGAACTTCGACTAACTCCGGCGACAACTCCGGCGACCCTTTCAACTCCGTGAAAGTCCTTGAAGTACCTTATACAAGTTAACAACAAGGTTTTATCATCATAGAACCCATATCACCACAAATAACCCCTAAAAGGTTATTTTCCGACGAACCCGTCAACTTTGCTCTCAAAGTTCGTTTTGGATATGAACCAACCTTCCAACCCCTCATTCTTTACATATAATGTGAAGAACAGTTCTATGGGTATGAATTATGATTACATAATCATATTGGAAGAAAGGAGAAAGGATTTGTGGAACCATTACCTTACTATCCAAAGCTTTTCCTCACTTTTTCACCCTTAATCCTCTCCCTTGAGCTCCCTTCTTTCTTGAGCACGGCTGGAGACTATGGAGGTGTGTCTTGAAGAGCTCCTCTCTCCCTTGGGGATGTATAATTCGAATGGGGTGATTGGTTGTTGATGGAGAATGCCTTTTTGGCATATCTCCCAATTATAACATGGGAGGGTCCCATACACCTTATTATTTTGATCCCAATCCATTCATGCCCCCTCTCCCATTTCCTTGTGCGGCTCCCCCTTTTCATTTGTAGACTAAAAACGTGGGGATGGCCCCCACTTAGATGGGTGGTCATCCCTTTGTGTCCCCGAGTGTACATTCGGTCCCGAAAGTTGTATTTTCCGGACTGTTTGAATTATATTTCGTTTTATCGGGTAAAATGAAATATCTCTCATTCTTCCAATTATTATTGGCTATAAGAATGAATGTATATTCCCCAACTTTCAATCTGGTGGTCTCCATAATTTATTATGGCTTCTATCTGTCAGTACGCCGGTACTGATAAGTGAGCTTCATATGCCCTATCGGTTACTCACCTAATTTATATGGTCCAACAAGGATACCCACCATTATACACATATTATCTTGACCCAAATGAATATAATATGTGGTCCCGATATTATCGGGCGGCCCCCACTTCCGGTGTGGGCCCCACGTGAATTTTACTATTCACGTAAAAGAAATGATAAAAATTCACAATCACGTAAAATGCTTTTATTCATTTCTTGGGTTCAATACATAATTTGATAAAGTACAAATACTTGGGGGCGGTGTTACAAACCTTAGAGTTTAAGGTTGATGACGAGGTATTCTTGAAAGTTTCTCCTTGGAAAGGGATCATTCGGTTCCAAACCCGAGGAAAACTTAACCCACGATATATAGGTCCATTCAGAATTATAGAGAGGATTGGGGCCGTTGCATATCGTCTACAGTTGACTCCTGAGTTAGAGAAGATACATAATGTGTTTCATGTATCCATGCTTAAGAAGTACGTGCATGATCCCTCTCACGTATTGGAGAAGCCACCTGTAGAGGTACGTGAGGATTTGAACTACGCTGTTCAACCTATCAAGGTCACCGATAGAAAGGTGAAGAAACTGAGGAGCAAGGAAGTCCCCATGGTTAAAGTCCTGTGGAAGAGCGATCGGGTCGAAGAAGAGACATGGGAAACAGAGGCTTTGATGAGAAAGCAGTATGCTTTCCTATTCGAGTAGAGCTGTGAATTTCGGGGACGAAATTCCTGTTAAGGGGGGGTGAACTTGTGACACCGCACCCGAATGTCCTTGGAAATTTGATTTGAATATTCAAAGCTTATGTATTGGATTTCTGATTCCCAAACATTTTGTAAAACGATCAATGTTCTACGTAGTGCATGGTTGAATATTGTACTGTTCAAACTCGTACATTAGTGTCGGGTTTCGCAAATACTTACTCGGGACTTATTAATAAATAAAAGAGCCCAACATTATCTATATAAGTGATCGAAGGATTAAAGAAGAATACAAATGCCTATAACCCCATCTTTGGCATTTTTGAGCTAAATAATGGGAGTAGGATTTTCCTTCTATAACATCCATCAAGTAAATTATTGGGATGAGCCTACACATATTGGAGGTCAATAATGTGATTTAGGAAGTTGACTTGTTCTAAATAAATTAGGATGAGTACAAAAAGACATCTTTGACAAAGATAAAACAATAGGACCCATCTTCCCATTTTTGGAAGTATTGGTAGATATTTTGGACCCCAAATTGATTGGGATTAATTGGGGGGCATCGCATGTGGCTTGAGTACCTGCAAGACAAGGAAAATATGTGAGGAGACTCACCTTGGCCGCACCACATGGAGAAGCATTGCCCATGACACAATTGGGATCAAATTTTGGGGCCACCACCACTGTTTTCGCACAAACAGGTGTGCTGTTTTGTCTCCCTTCATTTTGAGAGTTGTACTTGTCCAAATGGGGTGTATAAGGTGTCTTTGGATAGATTTTGAAGTCTATTTTCATATTTGAGTGGCCACAGTTCGAGAGGAGAGAGCAATCATCCAAAAATCGATCTGGAACGAGCAGAGGTCTGTGAACTCGAGCTGTGAGAGTGCTGAGACTGTTTGGTCGATATCTCGCGTTTTACCAATCCAATTAAGGCGTGTGAGATACCAAAAGAAATCTCTCAAGACGAGGAATCCGTGAAGGTCTGGTTTGCATCAATCGGAGTAGAGTAAGGCTTCCAAATCGTCCGAACAGAACGCGACCTTGCAGGAACGGATTTACTCTTCTAAGTGAGTTGTTAATCCCAAAACCTTTCCATTCATTTTCCAAATGATATGAACGATTGGTGGAACTATTATACACTACTCCAAGTGTATAATATGTCCCTATTAAGTTATTTTATTGATGTAAAGGTTAGATACTAACCTAGAACAAATCTTGGAAAACTAGGAAACGAGTTAGCCGGAAAACACCCATTCTAGGGGCTGTTTTCGTACCAACGTTTAGGGGTTGAGCTAGCACCTTGAAGAGGCTGTTTAACACTCATATTTGAGCAAGGAATCAGTTCCAAATCCACCTTGACCGAAGCTTTGACCATTGGACCAAGAAGGGAAAGTTTAAAGCTCAATTGAGGTGAGGATTGACATCTAATTGCTTACAACTTGTAGGTTAAGCATGAGATTACCTAAATGCTTAAATCATGATTTTTCATGGATTATGATGATTATATATTGATGAAATATTGATATAGTTGCCAAAGAATGAAATTTGAAATGATTTGAGAAGGTATGAATAATATGAGATTAAATGAGTATAAAAGAACCATTTTGTGAAAATGGGTATTTTACTCATGTATGAATTATGTGGATACATAAATGAATATTTGTGTATTGAAATTGAATGCTTAAGTTGCTGCTACATAATTATAAATATGTAGAGAATTACAATAATGAGGATAATGGTATGATACCAATAATCTTAATAGTATTGGAATACTAGTTAGTGACTATTGGGACTTGTGAATTAAATTGATCCTAGGGATTGGATTGTATGAAAGATACTTGAATATAGTTCAAGTGTAGATAATAACCTAGTATGGAACTAAGGTTAAGTTATGGGAAGTCTTTAAGAATGACCCATGGTAGGATAATGATATGTCAATTCTAGGCATAGGGTTGCTTGAGAATTGGACCTTAATGCATGGTGATGTGATAGAGCCGAGCTCTAGAATGCATGTAAGGTGTAGACTTGGAGTCTATGTATTGTATAGCTAGAGCCGAGCTCTAGGGCTTGCGTGGTGATGTGATAGAGCCGAGCTCTAGAACGCAAGGTAAGGAAATTGACCCGAGGTATATGGATTGTATGGTGATGTGGTAGAGCCGAGCTCTAGAATACAATGTCATATACTAGGGTTGGACTCTAGGAGTTGTCGTGGCTTATAGTCACGGGGTTGGGAATGGTGATTTCCAAATGAACATGGGCCCACGGGCCGACTACTTGACTTTTATATAAAGTAAGTATAATTTTTAAACGGGGTAACTCAGGGTTACAATCATAATGTACTATCACCCTATTTGAGGGTCTTGTGTTTGAAATACTTGTTGTATATCTATTAGATGCCTGCCACACCAGTACTTTATAGCCGTATAGAGTACTGACCCCTTCGGGGGCGTCCCACCACCATTTCAGGTTGAGGCTAGAGCTTGCATCCTGTGCTCGTTGATCGGGCGATTCCTCGGAGAGAAGACTTGGTTCGTGCTTCCTCCGTTCTATTTGAAACATTATTAAATTTGCTCATGGATATTTTACTATAGAGCCTGCGTGCTCATGAACAGCCCTGTGTGGCTCTTTTGTTTTAAATAATGTTTTCCGCTGCGTTATGAATTACTTATTATGTTTGTTTATGGATGTATATGTGTGAATGATATTCAAGACGCCTTGTATAATATGAATGTGTTGGACTGCGGTTGACTATTCATATTGTACGGCGGGTTGTTGACGTGTCCGGATAGGTCCGGGGCGTGACAATACTAATGAGCATGTTGTGACCACTTGAAATGAACACGTCATCACTCAAGAAAATGATAATTTGTTAGAAGGAATAGCTTTAAGAAGGTCATTACAGGAAAACAATCTGCTATTCCAGATGACTATTTACTATATTCTGTTGAGCATGAGTGTGACTTGAGCATTGATGAGGATCCAGTCTCATTTGAGTAAAGACTCCTCGAGGATTGTTATGGTTTTGGTGGCTCGTTTTTATTTAGAGCTTCACCAAATGGATGTGAAAACCGTCTTTCTGAACGATGACTTTGAGGAAAAATTGTAGAAGGAACAACCAAAAGGATTTTTGACCACTGGTAAGGAAAATCTTGTGTGTAAGTTACAAAAGTCAATATATGGACTAAAACAAGCTTCTTGACAATGGTATCTTAAGTTTCATAATACCATTTGTTCTTATGGTTTTATAGAGAACATCATTGACCAGTGCATCTATATGAAGGTCAGTGGGAGCATATTTGTAATTTTAGTCCTATATGTTGATGATATCTTGCTTGCTGCGAATGATATGTCCATGATGCATGATGTTAAAAGTTCCTTTCTAAGAACTTTGAGATGAAAGATATGGGTGAGGCATCCTATGTGATTGGAATTGAAATATTTCGAAACCGTTCACAAGGAATTTTGGGTATGTCTCAGAAAAGTTACATCAGTCAGGTCTTAGAAAGATTTAATATGGACAAATGCTCTTCAAATATGGTTCCAATTCAGAAGGGGGACAAGTTCAGTTCATTACAATGTCCTAAAAATGAATTGGAACGTAAGGTGATGGAAAGAATTCCTTATGCGTCAGTGGTTGGATGTTTGGGATACGTTCAGAGTTGTATTTGTTCCGATATTAGTTTTGTTGTTGGAATATTGGGACGATATCAAAGTTATCCCATAATGGACCACTGGAAAGCTGCAAAGAAAGTTTTGAAGTATTTGCAAGGCACCAAAAATCACATGCTTACATTTAGGAGATCTAATCATCTTAAGGTGATTAGATATTCAGATTCAATTTTACTGGAGGTGTCGATAGTAGAAAGTCACCATCTAGTTTTTCTGTTCATAATATATTGGTAGATTAGTAAACAAATAGCTATTGCTAATTCTACTATGAAGGTCGAACTTGTGGCATGCTTTGAGGCCACTGTTCATGGTTTGTGTCTGCGGAGCTTTGTTTTAGGACTTAGACTAGTCGACATTATAGCTAAGTCGCTGAAAGTTTAATTCTGCAGCAGTCTTCTTCCTGAAGAATGATAGGTACACTAAAGGTGCCTGTAACACTTGAGATTTAATATAAACGGATTAATAGTACTACTCATACCAATAGAGGTGCATCTCCTTTTAAGGGAGCTCATCACCCAAGAACTCCAAAGTTAAGCGTGCTTGCACGGGAGTAGTCTTGGAATGGGTGACCCCCTGGGAAGTTTCTCAGGGCGCGCATGAGTGAGGACAAAGTGCACGGTAAAGGCTCGTGGCGGTTTATGAGGACAGTACTAGAGGTCCGGAGGAGGTTTGGAGTAACTACCTCGGGTCCTGCGGGGCCGGGGTGTTACAGTGCCAAACGCATAAATTTGAGGTAGTTGTTAGTAAAGGAAGAAGTTCAGAAACATATAGTGTTTATTGATCATGAGCATATTGGCACTGAACATATGTTTGCAGATCCGTTGGCTAACACCCAAAGTGTTTAAGAATCATGTAATTACTATGGGTGTTGTTGATAAAGCCTTACTATGATAATTTTTTCAGCGATTTATGTTTGCTCATTTTTATATATTATTGTTTTGACACTCATTTGAATTCAATAAAGGTTATGTTTCTGGTTTTCTTGTTATCTATTTAATGGTGATCACATATAATTAGTTGTAGTGATAACAAGTGTTGAGGATTTAAGCATCCCTCAAATTTAAGATTTGAGACTTTCAGATTTCTCAATTGTTTCGGATGAATTAGAATATTCTTGTGATACATGGAAGGGAGCATGTTAGTACAAATGACGTGTAACCGCCGTGATCCAGTCAATTTGAAATTCAGTTAAGTTTTTTCTTGATGAGTTTGTTTTGATGAATATTGCGCAATTTAAGTTTTCATCAATTCATCAAGGATCACATGACCAAGTGGGAGAATGTTAGAATATTTATTTAATTATTAATATTCTAATATTGGTCATTGGTCATGTAATTGGGGTTATATGTTATTAATAGAGTTCGTATAGTCCTAGACCTTTAATTGGTTTAATGATAGGCTGAACCTATGTTTAAGTCTGTCTAGGACTAGGGTTCCCCAACCCTCTCCTCTGCCTCTATATATACACTTATTCCCAATGGAATAAAAACACAATATTAGAGAGATATTTCTACCTATCAAGAATCTCATAAGGAAAGAGGCTAGAGGGGATAATGAATTTATTCCAATTTATTCATCTATCATGATGTATCCAGGTATTCTTAAATCTCATATCTATCAGTATATGATTATGTATAATTTATGATGTCGATCTTGGAGTTTAATACGTAGTATAACATAATATAGCCAAGAGCTTTGAAGCTTACCGAAAATTTATTTATTCTGAAGTAATTGGAGAATATAGGCATATGAAGCATTGGTCTATAACGGGAATCTCTTTTATAAGATACTAGCACGGTACCCGTGCATACGCACAGGAAACCCCGTTGATCCATATATACTTTTATTCACGTCCAATTAAATATAAAAAATTAGTTTTTTTTTTCAATTTTACATCATTTCAAAAATGAAGTACAATAAGTGAATATAAAAAAAAGTATAAATCCATACAACAAATATTCAAAGTAAAAGAAAATTAAAATATAAAAAAATCGACACCATCCATTAGAGTTTGTTACGTAACTATAATTAGTATTGTTAGTAACGGATAAAGAAATATTGAACTTACTTGTTAGAGTTTTAACAAATACTTTAAAGGCACTTTTAGTGGTAATGTCTTATGCTTTTCTTTTCTTATCATGTACGTAGTGTTAAAATCATCAATCCATATTTTCAAAACCCTTGAAAAGGCCCCATATATAATAGGAGTATAAAGCTTTACATGGCTAAAATACGTCTAGGTAAGAATATTTCATCTTTTTTTAATGAGAGTTTGATATTTATTAATTGTCATAAAATAGGTGATAATTGTAGAAAATTGTCTTTTCATAAGTTTAAAAGGGAATGAGAGAGAAAGTTCATCCGATTAATTATTAGTTTGCTTAGCTTATATCTAAAAGTGCTACATATGCGAGAGAAAGTCTTACACTAAATTATTAGAGAGAAATTCTCCTATTCAATTAGTAGTCCGCTTATCTTCTCATCATCATACTTAAAAGGACTACATATGAGAGAGGAATTCTCCCGCTCAATTTTATTTGGCTCAATTATCAGCACGCTTATATTCTAATACCTAAAAGTACTACGTATGAAAGATAAAATTTTCTCATTCAATTATTAGTCCGCTTATCTTATACTTAAAATGACTGCATATGATAGAAGAAATTCTCCCACTCAATTAGTCTGCTATCTTCTTGTACCTAAATGCACTACATATGAGAGAGAAAAATTACCCACTGAATTATTAGTCCGCTTATCTTCTTAGACCATTTGTAGTGGTGAACAGTCCAAATTGTTAAATTTGGACTCCGTCCATATGAAAACAGTGTTTAGACTCCGTCAATATTGTTTTTCTCTGCATCCGTGCGCTGTCAATAAAATACACTGCATATTTTTTACATATCAATTTAATAAAACATTAATTAAATTATTATAAGTAATATTTTCGTTTTGATTTTTTCCCTGAATACTTATGAAATAAAAAATACACATTTCAAAGTAAAAAAAAAAAAGAAAATTCACTATTTTTTTAGAAGGCTTTTGGTTAACAAATAAATGAACTTTGTTCAAATAAAATTCGATTATGAAATATTCATTTAGTATTTGTGAAAGCTCAATGAATTAAAAAATTGTATTTCGTACTTTTTTGGTTCAAGAAAACTTCAACAGTTATAATTTCAAATTTGTTTTTTATTTTATATATTACATATTGATGTCATATGAAAGATCGTAAAAATTCATGAATTTTGATATATTTTTTGAAAAATTTGGAGAACAAATAAAAAAAGTTATAAGAGTTTAAAATTAATTGGGGTTTTAATGACATCTGCATGACATCACCACGACTCAGCAGAACCCATGAGCCAGCAGCCGTCTTTCCTTCTTTTTCCTTTTTCCTTTTCTTTTACCCAACCCAACCCTCTATATTTACACTCCTCCACTCCCCTTTCTATTTTTACTCCCCCTTTTAACCCCCCACTACACACAAATAAGAGTCTAAAACTTCCAATTTTAATCTTTTGACTCCTAATCTGCAACCACTATAAAAGGTCTTATACCCAAAAGCACTACATGTGAGAGAGAGAAAATTTTTCCGCTCAGTTATTAGGTTGTTTGTGTTATCTTCTTATACCTAAAAGCACTACATATGAGAGAGAAAATTTTCCCGCTCAACTATTAGGTTGCTTATTTCATCTTATCTTATCTTATACTTAAAAGCACTACATATGGGAGTGAAAAATTCACCTGCTCAATTATTATGCTGCTTATTTTATCTTATACCTAAAAACACTACATATGAGAGGGAAAATTCTTCCTCTCAATTATTAGGCTGCTTACTTTATATCTAAAAGCATACATATAAAAAGAAAAATTTTCCGCTCAATTATTAGTCCGTTTACCTTATTATATCTAGATGCACTACGTATGAGAGAGAAAATTCTCTCACTCAATTATTAATCCACTTATCTTATATCTCAAAACACTACATATGAGAGAGAGAATTATCCCGCTCAATTATAAGCCTTTATCTTATTTTATACCTAAAAGCGTACATATAAGTGAGAAAATTCCCCTGCTCAATTATTATTCTGTTTACCTTATTTATACCTAAAAGCACTACATATGAGAGAAAATTCTCCCGCTCAATTATTAGTACGTTTATCTTATATCTAAAAGTACTACATATGAGAGACGAAATTTGCCCAAT